GTCTCCCCAGCGCTCTGTCTCACTCCCTCCCACCCACTCCAGAGCTGGCTGGGCTCTCCCTCTGCCTACCCCTACCTCCCTCCCTGTCCCAGCTCACACCTCTATTCCTGTTCCTGCCCCCACATCCCAGTCACAGTTGTGTCTTGCTCTCCTGTGTGTTGTCACCCACAGTGCCTGTCCTCCTGTGGGCTGTGAGTCCCATCTCATTTCCCCAGACCTAGAAGGGTGCCACAGATGAGACTAGGGCAGTGCAGTCCACACAGCAGCCTGGCCCCGTGTGGCTCTCACATCTAAGTTCAGTTTCATCAACTGCCAGTCTCTCCTTGGCACTGGCCACTCGAGCCTGTCTCCCGGCGCCCTGGCCGCACAGCACAGTGTGCACTGAAGAATTTACCGTCACAGAGAGGTCTGCGGGAAAGGTCTGCAGGTGGTGATGGTTTTGAGAGTCACCACTGGGTGAACTATTAGTACTAACATCAATGTCAACTCCATTAAGAGCGGGGGATGGAGGTCAGCGCCTGCACTACTGTCCACCCTCAGACTGTCTCCCTCCTGGGGTCCCAAGTGGCCTCAGCTCTCTCTTCCTCTTTTAATGAGGAAGCTCTCCAAGCACAGGGCACAGGGAGCCACGGGGTGGCTTGCGGTGGCCTGATCCAGTTTCTAAGCCCTCCCTTCAGCCAAACAAACAGAATCAACCCGGCCGAGACTGGTTTTTCCTTTGTTTAGTTTTTCTGAGTCTTTCTAGGCACATAGAAATTGTAAGCACCACTGTGGACTCTTGTGATGGAGGCACACTGGCATGGGCTGGCCAAGTTGTCTGCCACCCATGTCACCTCCCGCACTTGACCCTTTCTTGTGGTGACAACTTTCAAAATCTGCCCTCTTGGCAAGTTTCAAGTACACAAGGGGCTGTTATTAATGGCAGTCACCAGGACACACAGCAGGTCTGGAACTCATTCCTCCCAACTTTGACTGACACCTCTTTGGCCCCACCCATAGCCCCCTCTCTATGACCTTGGCTTGTTGAGACCAGGTCTGAGCAAGGTCATGTGGCATTTGTCCTTCTGAGCCAGTGGGGCCTCTTTCTAATCCATCCACCTGGCTCTCCAGGATGGCTGGAGCCAGGGCCCTTCCCAGGCCACAGCCTGAAAGCGCGGAGCTGGCAGGGCCAGGCAAAGGCACCACAGGGCTCTGTTGGAACTGCGGAGCAGTCCCCAGAAGCTGTCCCCACCGCTGCTTCTTTCCGGGAGTCGGGCCCTGGGTCCTGGCTGGAAACCCCTGATGCCTTCAACTGACAAGCTGCTGAGAGTCCCTGCCCAGCACCCGCCGCCCGCAGGGTGGACACCTACCTCCAAAGAGGAAGAGGGTCCCAGTGAGCAGCAGGAGGAGGTAGGCTTGGAGGAGGAAGCTCAGAAACCCCGTCATCCCCCCGAAAACCATCAGGATCAGGCTGAGCGGCAGCAGAATCACAAACGTCCCGTGCATAGCTTCAGGAGAGAGACAGGGGACACGGGCAGCAGAGGTCACTAACATGCCCCGTCCCCCCGCCCACAGCTACTGAGCACCCACCATGGCCGCACCCGAAGCTGGGGAAATGACCACCACTGCTTCTGATGACAATGACTCGTGGCAGTGCTGCGTCTTGCGCGGTGTGTGCCCGGAGCCCCGCCATCCGCCCTGGGAACCCGGAGGTGCTGTTATAGGACTCCTCACTTATCCCCGGTGCCCACTCAGGAGCGGAGAAACCAAGATCCTGCCCTGCGGCCACACGCCAGCGAGTGGAGTCCAGCCGTGAGCAGACTCTACACACCAGAGTCGAGAGCCGGTGACCAACAGGGCTGCCCAGCAGCAAGGAGGCAGGCAACAGCGCCCCCGGCGGTCGCTGAGGGCAGCACGCGGCGGAGCGAGGAGCGGGTGCGGAGCGGGTGCGGAGTGGGTGCGGGTGGGACCAGGCGCCCAGGAGACCAGGGGGCGAGGGGCGGAGCCTGCAGGAGGCGGGGCCGTGGGCGGGGCCATCCCGCAGGGGCCTCGGCCCTTCTCTCCCAGGGAGCCAGAGTCATCACCGTTTGGGGCAGAGGACAGCGCGGTCCATCTTTTGCGGAGGCTTCTGCAGGACTGCCCTGGGTGCTGGTTGGAACTGACACCGCCCAGCTCCCAGGAAGGTCTTGAAAGGTCTTTGCAGATGCTTAAAGTTCAGGAGCGCAAGATGAGATTGTCCTGGATTCGAAGGTCCTGCGTCGCAGCAGTGTCTCCTTGAAGAAAGACTGAAGACGCGGAGGAGGAGGAGGGACAAGAGGGCGGAGGCCGAGCCTGGAGGAGCCCAAAGCTAGCTTCGTCCTAGGCCATGGACTCTGTGGTGGCCCAAGGACACTAAGGCAAAGGACAAGGCAGGAAGTGGAGTGGCCCGTGGTTGGGGGAGCGGTGGTTGGACATCCTTCTTCACAACCAGATACCCAGCGGCTGGAGCCAGGGTCAGCAGCAGGGGCTCAGCGCACAGCCAAGGAAGGAGTCCTGCCACAGGCAGATAGTCACACAGGTGGCCTGGGACCCCTCCCAACGGTGGCCTATGAGGCTCTAGGGCCCCCACGCTGTAATCCAGCCAGCGGGTTGGAGCTGGGCCTGGGGCCACTGGAGGAGCCGTCAGGGTGGAGCCGGAGATAGAATCCCCCCAGTTTGGGACAGCAAGAGGACAGCAAGGTCAGCTGGCCAGACACAGGCTGCCACAGGGTTCTGCCGGCAAGACGCCATCGCCAGAGGCGGCCCCTGGACCTCGACCTACAGGATGTGAGCCACAATAAGCTTCTTCATTAAAACCTACTGGACAGGAGGGTTGTCCTGGGCAACAGAAAACGCACTGACCCGTCCACAGTAATAAAGATGGTGAAGATGGCCGTCCAGCCTCCTCCACACCGCTCTGTCTTCAGGTCCCAAAGAGCCACCAGCCTTGGCAGGCGGAGAAAACCAGGCTAAACTCCCTCCGGGGACCACCAGAGATGGCAGAACTGTCACCGTGGCCTGGACAGCGTGGCTGCCGTCCTGTCCAGGGAAGAACCAGCGGCTCAGTGCAGCTGCTGGAGTGTGACCCTGGCCCCGCAAGCTCAGGCTCCTGCACGGCTCCGTCCGCAGCTGAGAGACGGGATCATTTCTCATGTAGAAATTAACGAGGCCCCCGGAGTCCCCAGACACCCCGCGAGCCAACTTGACCCACACATTCAATTACATGTCTGGGTATGAAAGCTCCCAGGGGAGGTTTGTACAATCTCCTGCAGAAATCTGGTCGAGCTCTGTGTGCATATGTGTGAAGTCATACTCTTTATTTTGTTTGTCTTTCTTTTTTTTCCAGAATCGCAGTCGTGGAACATGAATATTGATTCCAAGTTTTGTTCTACTGCGAACTGCACCCGTCTCCAACCACATCTCGGAATGTGCTTAGAGTGTGGATGTGGCAGAGTGATAGATTTCTGGGAACTGGGATATTTGGATGGTGCTGGGATATCATTGTGGGGTTGGAGTGAGGGTGATCAGTCAAAAGACCACTTAATAGGGCCTACAAGCTGTGTGACTGTGGACGAACGACTAGACCACTCTGCGCCTCATGGGAAGATGAGAACTCCTGCCTGCCGACTGCTGAGGACGTATTAAATCCAGCAGACACACAGAGCTGAGCACACAACAACGCTTAAGTCACGGAGAGTTGCTCCCTTGTGGCTATGTAGACAGAGCACCCACAGGGCTTATCACCCAAACCAAACACTCTGAGAGCCAAATAATCATCGGCAGTCACTAAGCCATCTACCATGACCGCAGCATGCACCAGGAGCAGTCAGGGCCAACCAGGACAGCGGGTCAGGCCTGTGTCCACCCCTGTGTTTAGCAAACACCCAACACCTGCCGCCTACAAGCGCCAAGCCCCGGCAGTTTCTAGCCGCGGCCGAGGCAGGTTATGACCCAAGTTTGCAACCCTGTCTCCAGGCTCCCAGGGATGGGGACGGGGTCAAAGACCCCCTCCCGCGCAGCGCTGCCAGCCAAGCCCAGGTGCCGGGTGGCCCGGGGACCCACAGGAAGCACGGAAACCTCTGAACTCCTAGGAAGACAGGGATTCTGTAACCCGGGGCTGAGCCCAGGCCTGCCTCCCGCTTGGGGACAAGCTTGTCGTGACCTCCCAGGATGGGGAAGGGAAGAGCCCCAGGCCTGGGAGGGCTCTGGGCCCATAGCCAGCCGCCGCAGGGTCCTAGATGTGACCTCCAAGAGCTGCACCACCTGACAAGGTCGTGGGGCATGACCCAGGGAGGCCAGGCAAGGTTATCTCACAGGCAAACCAAGGCCTGCGCCTCTCAGAGGCCAAAGCCCCTCCCCAGCACAGGGGCTGGCTGCCTGGTCCTGCTCGGTCTCCCTCCCTACAGGCAGGCTGTTTGTCCCCACTCCTGACCCTGCCCAGTCAGACCAAACCCTGCTTCCGTGGACCCTCCCAAAACCACCCATCAAGTCCCTGGTCCTGTTGGTCCCTCTAAAAGCCTGTGTCTGGGGCGCCCAGAGTCCTCGTGGTGCGTGTCGACCTGGTTGCAATGAGCAGTGAGCCACTTGTCCAGCTACGCATGGTCCCTGGTGGTCGGAGGCTGAGGGCACCAGCAGTGGCCAAGGGCTGTCCCAGGCACTGGGAGGGGAGGGTGCGATGGACTCAGGCAGGGCAGGAGGAACCGAAGGCCAGAGAGACCCAGAGCTTTCTTCCCCGTGGTTCATTTCCTGGGGAGCCGACAAGGTGCACAGACTGCAAACTGGAAAGGTTCAAGAGCTGAGCCAGAAGACCGGGCAGAGATGACACAGGACAGGGACAGCAGTGGACTCCAGTCTCGTGCCATTCCCTGTTGGTGGTCTTGGGAGGAAAGCGTCCTGGACCTGAGACCAGCAGACACACCTCCTCACCACGGGGCCTTGGGGACAGGGGGCCTGGCAGGGGCTTATTCTTTGATAATGAGGCCGCCACTATAAACTGGGCCGCTAACAGGCAACGGGAACTTACTCCCGAACAGTCCCAGAGGCCCGAATTCTGAAACCAAGGTGTCCCAGGACCGAGTCCCATCAAAGCCTTCAGGGAACGCCTCCCCTGCCTCTTCCACTTTCCTGTGGCTTCAGGGACCCTGGACCCGCCTGGGCCTGTGGCCACACCACTGAGTCTCCCCTTCCTCTTCTCTCCTCTCCGTATAAGGACCCTTGTCGTTGGATTTAGGGCCCGCCCAGAGCATCCAAGATGATCTCGTCTCCAGATCCTCAGTGCATCTGCAGAGCGCTTCTTCCAAATAAGGTTCTGGGGCTGAGGACGTGGGCACCATGTCCCGCCCCACTGTCTTGTGTGGTATACAGCAGGAGCCTCATAAGCGGCACAAGGAGGAGATCAAGAGATGACAGCTGTGGTTATTATACAGGACTGATAACATGAAATGCCGACATCATCAAGGTCAACGTGGAGGCCCAAGTGAGGGCATCTTTTCAGTTCAAAAACGTCTGCTGCATAAGTCAGGGGCAAGCGACCGGCAAAGAACAGAGAAACGAGGCGCTCCTGCCAGGGGACATGTTGGTTCCCTGTGACCAACGTGTTGTGCCCATCAGCCTTTCACCACTGTGACCAAAACACCTACAAGAACAACTGGGGTGGGGGGGAGGTTTATTTTGGCTCCATTTCAGAGATTTCGTCCATGGTCCTCCGGCTCCAGTGCTGGCCCAAGGTGAGGCAGATGGCCATGGCGGAAGGTCGTGGTGGGGGAGGATGCTCAGCTCCAGGCAGAACCAGAGCCATCCAAGCCCTGGCAGAAGAGAGGCTCCAGAACCAGCCGCCAAAGGCCTCCACGTGTCACCGCGACTCGGGGACTCCAGGGAGGTTCAGAAACACGTGGTCCTCTGGCGCCGGGAGGGGCGTGGCTTTTTAAATGTTGGTAAATAGTTGCCCCTGAGTCTGCCTTGAGGACAGGGCTGTCCTTCACTGCCTTCTTGGTCTCCGTGATGCTCCATGACATGGAAAGAGCAGGAGTCGGCAAAGCCCCGCATTCGAATCCTGACTCCGCCTCCCACTGAGCACAGCACCATCTCTGCAAAGCCCGGTTTCCTCACCTGTGGACTGGACGCTGGACGCTGGGCTGGCGGAGCTGCACCGAGGACAAGCGAGCGATCCTTCCTTCCCGCTCATCCTGCGACTCCACCAGGAACAAGCCTTAATTCCCATCCACAGACTGAGACCCCAGGAACCCAGGCCACCTGCCCACGTGCTGTGAAGGACCCTCTGAAATCCACGGCGAAGCGGGTCGGCAGAGAGGGTCGTGGGGCTGCAGAGAGGGGCACTCAGCCAAGCAGGGGGTGGGGGCGAGGAAAGAGGGGAAGCGTCCCGGCTGAGACCCGAGGTAAGGGCAGTGAACTGGGCTGAGGGGTGGACGGGTGGGCACAGAAGAGGACATACTGCCACCGTCCAGGAGCGGGAGGCACCGGGAGCAACGTGACCTCAGCTCCTGTGGCTGGAGGGGAGAAGCCCGGCGCCGGCAGCCCTCTGGGGGGCTTTTACCCCAATGTGAAACCTTCCTAGAGAAACTTCAGACAGACCCAGTGGACCAGCACCAGCTCCGCCCCTCCCTCCCCTGACAGAGCGGCCTCGGAGGACGGCTTGCTTCTGTGTTCTGTCTGTTTTCTGTACATCGACATGTTTTCCTAATTCTACGCCCACGCTCCCTCGGTCATGCTTTAATTTAACTGAAAACAGCAAAGTTGGCCCTCCTGTGCCTCGGTCATAATTGATAGTATTTTTTTTTTGTCTTAATGGCACACAAAATAAAGGGGCATCATAAAGTTTAGTTAAATACCATAGAAAAGTTATATAACATGGCTTCCTCGAGGAGGGATAATAAATGCCTACAATCTCTGTAACTTGGTCGCTTTATTCCACATCTTGGTGTTCTACCCTGTTAGCCTTGTCTTACTGGCTGTATAATATTTCTTAAAATGATTACACACACACACACACACACACACACACACACACACACACACGTCATCCAGGGACACCAAGGCTGTATCTTAATGTTTCTTACATGGCACAGTAACTTCTCAGGAGTCTCGCGTGGAAAACACTAGAAGTAGAATTATATAAAATAATTCTTGGTCTTAGTTTTCAACAGGTACTCCAGACAGCCAGCCTGAAGCGCAGGCCTCTGGCCCCGGGACCCGCCCCCCTCCCTCCGCCCTTCCCGCCTGCAGCCCAGCTGTGTGTAACTCACATTCCCTCCAGGCCCAGACAGCCTCTTAACTCCGCACGACATGTCCCCGTCCCTTGTCTGTTTCTGTCCCCCACCACTTCCACTCTGGAGCTGCGCCCGGCACCGTGGGAGGGCTGATTTCAATTTTCCATGCTACTGCATCAGCCCAGCACCCGCAAGACTAGAAACCCAGACTGGTGATTCCTAACTTCCTGCTCAGAGGCCAGCCTGCGGACCGGGTCCAGCTTCAGCCACGGGCGCGCTGTGCTGGGCCGAGCGTTTGACCCCTCTGGTCCAGTCCAGCCAGCCTGGTCATCCTCCTGGGTTCCGGGGAGAGGCAGCTGAGGAGGGGCCTGGAAAGACCAGGGCGCCCCTGAGAAGCACTTGGGCCCCACTCTCCAGGAATGCCGGCCTCCTGGGGGTTCCTGCAACCCACCGGCTCCGCCCTGCCTCCGCCCTGCCTCCAGGATGCCCCCGCCAGCCATCTTTGTAACGCCCATCTCTGCTCCCAGTGGGAAGGAGGCAGTGTGAGGTAGATACCCAGAATAAGGCAGGCACGAAGCTCCTCTTCGGGGCTGCCAAGGCCTCCGATCTTAATGTACACAGAGCACACGGAGAGGAAACTCAGCGTAGCATTGCTCTCACAAGGTAGAAGCAAACAGTGTTCGAAGCCCAGATCTGCCAGTAGCTATGCAAACTTAGGTAACTGATTAACTGATCTGTGCCTCGGTTTCCTCACCAGCAAAGTCGAGGATGATAAGGGTACTGCCTGTTGAGAAGACATGTGAGAGAGCTCAGAGCCATGTTTGACAAACAGCCACAGATCCCCTGTTCTGTTCAGCCAGCCAGCCCAGTGCTGGGGGGTGGAGGGGGCTAAATAACTCAGTAAATAAATGAGTCTGGTGGGTCTGTGATCGCTAGCTCCGTTTTACAGATGAAAACCTTGAGGTTCAGAGAGGTAACATGATTCCAAGCAGAAAGAGGCAATAATTGAGCTCCTACTGTGCGCATCCTGGGGTGCTTTGCATGTGTGATCGCATTTCTTCCCAGAAAAACCTTTTTATGGAACCAGCTGACCCATAAGAAGTCACACGGCTGGCTGAGTGGAGGGCAGGGGACCCCAGGCAGGGGACCCCAGGCCCCATCCCTCATCAGCTATAGGCTGGTCCATCCCTGTGGTTACGGCCACAGGTGGGCACGGCCTCAGCCTGGCCAATCAGCACACCCCATCCTCTTGGCTTCAGTGATTGGCTCAGACCAGGCATGTGACCCAACCCGGTCCAATGAAAGGCTGGCTGGAAGTGTGCCAAGTTGCTGAGAGGTGGACAAGCTCTTCCTGCTGGGGCTGAAGAGAGCCAGCCCACAGAGGCAAGGGGAGAAGGGTTGGATGGTGGTGGGCTCAGCCTTTCCCTTGCCTGGGCTCCTAGCTCCTCTTCTTTAAACCAGTGACCTTGAGTTTCCGTCCCCCGCGACCACGAGCTGGCTGGGGAGCCTGGCTCTTCTCCAGCTGAGCTGGAAGACCTCCCAGCCACCCCAGATCCTCTGGTCCCTGGCCAAGGAGCCAAACCCATGGCTCCCCAGAGCTCTCCGGAACCCTGAGCAAGGGGGATTCTACTGGCAGGGAACTGTCCCTTGGAAACCCCGCTCTGCCACCTGACTGAGCTCGCTGAGCAGGTGGGGCGCACTGTCCGTGACCCTGATGTTCCTGCTCAGCTTCCGCACCACCAGGTCAGCAGAGTCGGGGGGCCGGGCGTCTGCCCAGCAGCTCTCTGTCGGCCTGCTTGGGTTCTGGGAGGAAGGAGATCAAGGTTTGTCCCATGCACCCCGCACCAGGATTGCCCAGGAGCTGACTCGGAGCACCGTGACGCTCATCAGCACTTGGCCTCTCTGGCCCCCGCAGCAGCTCCTTGAGGGAGAGAAGAGCCTTTACGTAATGAAAGAACTTGGACCAAACTCAAACGCATCGAGGGAAGAAGAGATTCCGGGGGAAAAGCTCTCTCTGGGGGTGATTTTCAATGAACTTGCGGTCTGAAGGGGCAGCTTGCCCTCCTTCTTGGAGGAGACGCGGCAATAACGGCAGCGCTGCCCGTGGCCACGTACGGAGGCCGCGCACTGCCCTGGTCTTTAAAGGTGGTCTCCAGCTCCGTCCTCACGGAAGCCTCAGGAGGGAGATGGACACTTGCCTTCATTTTGCCCGTGAGGGAGCTGGGGCTCAGGGGTGTCGGAACATTCAAGGCCAGATGGCTAGCTGGTGGTGACGCCCAGATGATGAGACCTACATCTGGGGCGAATGGACATGGGGCCTCTCCATGTGACTGCTGCCTGTGTCTCAGAATCCTGGAATGAGCAGGCGTGTTGCATTTCCAGGTTTGCAAAGGAAGCCAGCCCCGTGCCAAGGACAGCCAGCCATGCCACCTACCCCTCCCTGGGACATGGTGGCTTCATGACAGCACCCACCTGCCAGAGGGTCAGCACTCCATGGTGTAACTGCAGCTAAGAAGAGAGAACTGACCCCTACTGAGCTCTTGGCCTGTGTCCGTCCCCTCACTCCTTCGTGTGACCTGGAGCTCCCAGTGCCACCCCAGCACCACCCAAGGTCCTGGTGACGTTCACCTTTTCATGCATTTCGTTCTTTATGGAATGCTGACCACACCCCTCAGGGTTTTGATGGCTCATTATGATCAAGATGGAAAATGAGGCTCAGAGAGGTTATGAAGACACCGATTTCAGGACCAGTGAGGCTCCTGTGAGGCTCTGAGCCGGATGAACCCTCATCTCCCTGACCTCAAACACAGGAATTCTTGATGATGCTAGAAACCTTGCCCCGAGAACACCCAGAGTCCCACCCCATGCACCTGGACTGCAAGAGGAGTGCACGGTGTCCCCACCTGTCCTCCGTCTTCCCCAGCCCAGGCTCCGGGAGGTGTCCCCTCCAAGGGGCCTTACCCAGAGGGGTGCTGGGGGTCACACAGATCTCACAAGAGCAGTTCTGGGAACTTTTTAGCCAGGTGCTGCTGTGTTGCAGCCTGAAATTTGCCACAGTCATTGGCAAATGCTGCGATCCAGGGGCTTCTCAAAGATTATTATTTCCCAGAGAGCCAGGTGTTAAATAGTTCTTTTGCGTGTTCGGCAAACTCAGGAGCACACTCTGCCAGGTCCCGGGTTAAGTATCAAGAGTGCACAACTAGACTTGATCCTTGACCTCAGGGGTCTACGGTCTACTGAGGGAGGCCGATTTTAACTGAAAAATGCCACACACTGTGCTATGGGTAGGAGTTAGCCAACCCAGGCTGGCAGGGCGGGAGCAGAGAGACTCCGGGTGCAGGGGACGATGCCTTCCAAGTTTTGTGACAGGGAAGAGTGGCACGCTCCAGGAAGTGGCCCAAGGCCACTGTGGCTGAAGAGGGGCACTGCCCGGCTTCTTCATTCTGAGTCCCACCCTGGAGCCTCCGTAGCTGTACCTGAGGCTCTCCGCACTGTTCAGGGTCTGGGGATCCCTGTTCTCCTTTCCTCCTCAGGTGCTCTCTAGGCCGCCTCCCTTGGCCTCCATTCCTCACTGGAACTGTGAGGAGCTAGTGACATCACAGGCGGGTGCAGGAACCAGAGAGAGACAGAGGGAAAGTCCTGAAGCGCCTGCTGGTCCCAAGCCTCCTTCATGGAGCGGAGCTCGCTCTCCTCCTTCTTTGCCAGTCTTGCCCCCTACTGAGCGCCATGCATGGGCTTCGCACTGGAGAGCTGCCACCAAAGGCAGACAGGATGGCCCGGGGAGGGCTGCTGCTGACTCCTCATCATGTGCTGAGCACCCCACCACGGCCAGGCCAGCCCCGGCTCCGGGATAAGAACTCTCCGTCCACGTTCAGCTCGCAGGCTGGTTTAGGTGCCTGCTTGGGCTTCCTATGCCCTTCATGCTGCTCGTCATTCCAAAAGAAAACTACATTGCCACCTCTCTTCCCAGCTAGTCCTGAGCGCCTGTAGCACATGGACTGAATCTTAACCCTCCACCAGCAAGGGGCTAGGCACACAGAATCCACCAGTCGGTGATGGACTGAACCCTAACCACACGTTGCAGACAGAGCGGCAGAGTCCAGCTTCCTGGTCTTAACCTACTCCCTTCTCAAGCCACCCCAGCTGCCCGCTCTGCAGAGTCCCACTGTGTGCAGAAAAGCTCCAGAACTGAGCTTGGGCAGGGGCTGCTGTTGGATGGGGATCCCACCTCCCCTCCCCGCTGTACTCACTGAGAAGTTGCTTGCTGGAGTCGCTGACTGTCACATTCTCCTGCCAGAAGGGGTTCATCAGCGGGGTGCACGAGCTCTGCACTGGATGGGACAGAGGAATCAGTGACCAAGCTGAGCATCCCAGGGCTTGGTCCCTGCCGTCGCCCTGGATGCTCCCCCAGGAGGGCAGGAGGAGGGCTGGGCAGCTCCAGCAAGAATTTCGAGCCCGAGCCCTTTGCCCACCTTCCCCGGCTCCCCTAGACCTGGCCTCCGGGGGTTGGGGCTGCAGGAGGGGTTCGCGCTCAACCACAGATCCCAGTGAGCAGGGGCCCTCGACCACCGCCCTGTCCCTGGTGCGCCTTACCCCGGCAAGTCCGCCAGAGCCCGGAGTGCGAGCTCAGAGACTCGGGCCGGCTGCGGTTGGCTGTCCCCAGCGGGTCCTGGGCGCCAGGGCCGCTTCTCTCCAGCCGCGCGGTGTCAATGATGTACCAGAAGTCGGTGCCGATGGCGGCCGCCAGCAGCACGAAGCTGAGCGCCCCGGTGAGCGCCGCTGAGCCGGCCAGCGCGCCCAGGCGCACCCGCATCGCCAGCTCCGACCCCACCGCGTCCCTGCGGCCCCTCTGCGCGGCCAGCGCCGGCCGCGAGCTCCCGGCTCCAGCCCACCCTCCCCGCCGGACCTGGACCCGAGCCCGACCGCGACCCGGACCCCGCTCTGCGCCCCCAAACCCTCACCTGCCGCCAGCTCACACCTGCTCCGCCCTCGGACCCCGCTCCCAGCCCCCAGGCGCCCCCTCGCCGGGCTCAGACCCCGGCCCCTGCTCCGCGGGCTCGTCCCTCCCCACCTCCACCTGCCGGCCTCCGCGCTCCGGTCTCGGATCCCAGCGCCTCACTTTCCCCGGCCCCGCGCCCTCCGCTCCGCCAGCCCCCAGCGCCCCACTCCGCCCGCCCCGGCCTCCCGTCCCCGCCGCGCTCCCCGCCTCCGCCTGAGGACGGGAGGCCACGCAGCCTGGACGTGGGCGGTGCCCGCAGGCACCACGGGGATCGTGGGGGGGAGCGGGAAGGGGCGCTGGGCCCCAGGGTGCCGCCAGGGTCTGCAGACGCACTGCAAGGGCGCCCCCCTCCAGCTCCAACTACCCTGCTTCAAAACCCACCTGGAGCGTCTCTCCGGGCTGCTAAGAGGGAAAGGCAGGTTCCTGTTTCATAAAAGTTCAATGAAGCAACAGGGTAGCGCTGATTCTCTACATCTGTCATCTCTGCCGCCAAAGTCTCTTCATTATCATAGCCACCACCACCATCTCCACCACCACCACGACCACCACCATCACCATCACTAACCATCACCACCACCATCTCCACCACCACCAGGACCATCACGAACCATCACCACCACCACCACCACC